TCAGATATAGTCAGGATTAGATTTAATGGCTCTGCCTGTCATTATCCATTGTGCATTTATACCCATAATATATGTGAAACATACTGATACATTTTTGGAGAATATATTCAAAACGGATATATCCATGCACATATCCTAGTCTCTAATCAGCTCCCCCATCTGCTACAATATCAAAAAGAAGCATTAAGAACATAAGAACATGAGAAGAGCCCTGCTGGATCAGACCAATAGTCCATCTAGTCCAGCATCCTGCCTCACACAGAGGCCAAGTGGTACCTGTGGAGGTCCAACAACAGGGCATAGGGGCCGAGGCCTTCCCCTGAGAAGAACATAAGAAGAGCCCTGCTGGATCAGACCAACAGTCCATCTAGTCCAGCATCCTGTGTCACACAGTGGCCAACCAGTTCCTCTGGAGGTCCAACAACAGGGCAGAGAGGCTGAGACCTTCCCCTCATAAGAACAGCAGAAGAGCCTTGCTGGATAAGACCAGTGGTACATCTAGTCCAGCATCCTGTCTCACACAGGGGCCAACCAGTTCCTCTGGAGGTCTAGCAACAGGGCATAGAGGAAGAGGTGTTCCCCTGATGTTGCCTCCTGGCCTCTGACTATTGCCTCTGAATGTGGAGATTCCCCTCAGTCACCCCAGCTAGTAGCCATTGATAGACTCATACTCCACGAATCTATCTAATTCCCCTTTAAAGCTGTTTATTCCTGGGGCCATCACTACATCCTCCGGCTGCAAATTCTTCATTTTAATCACTCTCTGCGTAAAGTAGTATTTCCTTTTGTCCATCCTGAACCTATCACCCATCAGTTTCTTAGGATGTCCTCGAGTTCTAGTATTTTGGAAGAGGGCGAATCATGTCCAGGCTGTTGGGTCTCCCTAGATGGGAGCACATCCAGCCTGTACTGAGGACACTGCACTGTCTGCCATAGCATACCAAATCCACTTCAAGGTGCTGGTTCTTACCTTTAAAGCCCCTTATGACCAGGGTCCAACATACCTACGGGACCGCCTTTCCCCGTATATACCCCAGAGAGCACTACGGTCTGAGTCTCAAAATCAGTTGACCCTCCCTGGCTCAAGGGAGGCCAGGCTAGCCGCCACTAGGACCAGGGCCTTTTTGGTGGCGGCCCCTACCTGGTGGAACGAGCTCCCGGAGGAGACCAGGGCCCTGCGGGACCTCTCACAGTTCCACAGGGCCTGTAAGACAGAGCTCTTCCGCCAGGCATTCAATTAGGGGCTGCCGCTGTTGGACCACCACTAGATCGCCCAACTGTTGCAGCACCTGGCCCATGAGCCACCATCGGGTTGTTGCCTTAAGGAAACTACGAGCAGAAAAACACCTTAGAACATTGGGAAATGGAAATCCACTGAAAATGTGCCATTTAAGTGACTTTTAATTGCCACCAGCACTTTATGCTTGTTGATTTGTAGTGTTTTAATAATGGTGTTTTTAAGCTGTATATATGCCGTGTTGGAAGCCGCCCTGAGCCTGCTTTGCGGGGAGGGCGGGGTACAAATGTGATAATAAATAAATAAATAAATAAATAAATAAATAAATAAAGGAGGCAGTATAGTGACTACGAGCTGCGGTGGCTCAAGTGGTTAAGACGCTGAACTGCAGGCTGTGGAAGGTCGGTAGTTCAGCAGTTCGAGACCCGAGTGTGGTGCATGATGAGCTCCCCTCTCTAGTTCCAGCTCCTGCCCACCTAGCAGTTCAAAAGCAAGAAATGGCAAGGAGATAAATAGGTACCGCTTCGGTGGGAAGGGAACAGCGTTTCGTGCGCCTTGGTGTTTAGTCATGCCGGCCACATGACCACGGAAATGTCTTCCGACAGCGCTGGCTCTTCGGCTTTGAAACAGAGATGAGCACCGCAACCCTAGAGTCGGACTCGACTGGCTTTCGAGCAAGGGAGACCTTTACCTTTACCTTTTTACAGTGACTCTAATATTTTTTTCTCTTCAGACACTGACCTCTTCCCAAAGCATGGGAAAGACAAGCTATAGTCTGCAAATCTGCTTCACATTATAGCTTCTGATTTGTACTTGTTGACAAATCACCCCCCCAAAAAAAAATCCTGTTCAATGAAGACATTGTACCAAGCCACCATTAACATTGTTCAACCATGGTTTGACATGGTGTCTGGATTCAACCATTTGTGTCTGTTGCCTTCATTCTGGCTGCAGTATTGCCTGTTGCCACGAGGTAAATATTTTGTGGCTTGTTTTGAAAATGGACGCACATTCATCAACTGTACTTTGGCCTCCCTTTTCATAACAAAAGGACTGCAGTCCAGTTCCCAATCAGAAAGGGTTTAGCAGAGACCCCTGGTCCCGTGGTGCCTTCCCTATGAGGAAAAGCTAGAGTTTGGAGGTCTTTAGAGTACAGGAAAAGATAAGCAGGGGAGGTTTCATATTACATTGTGCAAGGGGTGGAACATGTCAGGAGAACATGTTTACTTCCTCTTCCATAAAACTAGCTCGTGGACATCCGAAGAAGTTAATTTCACCTGAGTTTTGGCCACCGTGTGGCACAGTGTTGGACTGGATGGCCCATTGGTAGGGTTGACATCCCCCCAATGAGGGTGGGTTTTTTCTTGCTTTCAGGGGCCCCAATCCACCAGCAGCCAGCTGGCCAGCAGGGGAAACTCCATCCCTGAAGAGCCCCATTGCACCCAACATGTCCAGCATGATGATGTCACCCAGAGGCACATCGTGCAGGGGACACTCTAGCATTTGGGTAGAAACTCTATGGTGACCATAGAGAAGACCCTGAGAGCCAGAAGACCCAGGGAGCTGGGCTGGAGCCCCCTGCCAGGATGCAGGTAAGACCTCACAACCTTAGCCATTGGCCTGATCCAACATGGCTTCTTTTATGTTCTTATGACAGTAGATTCAGGACACACAAAGGAAGTATTTCACATTACTCTCAGGAGTTATCAACGTATGGAATCCACTGCCACAGAGTGTCATGCTGGCCCTTGCTTAGGTGGCTTTGAAAGTAGATTAGACTGATTTCCAAAGGGTATGTTCACTGACGACCATCGTCCATGATGACTAAATGGAAAACCCATGTTTAGAGGCCATGACCATCTGAATGTGAGTTCTGAGGGCAAAAACAAAGGGGAGTTTTGGTCTTCTAAAGTTATGTTGTTGAGTACTGTTGATAGCAGGATTCTGGAGTCAACAAATAATGGATAATATCCAACATAGGTGTTTCATAGCATCCATTGTGAGAT